ATCAGAGAACCAAACAACCAGATTCTAATGGTGAAGGATATACTAGCCAAACCACTGGGTTCTGTTGTACTAGAGAAAAAGAACATATTCTTTAAAAGTATGTACCAAGGGGAAAGTGTCCTTCAAGCACCTAAGCTTGGGCAGACCAACCCTTCTGAGTTGCCGGCTGGAAGTAAGGGAGAGACCGATAAAGAACCCGGGTAAGAAGACGGTCTAAATGTGGGTACTAGGGTTGTTGGAAACCTAAATAAGAGCAGAAATAGGTAATCACAAGGGTTCAATGGTTAGTTCTGACCCAAGTATATGGGTAGAGCCGTGGTGTAGGTTGCTGAAGTCTAGATAAATATATGTGTAGGATATATGATATCTAGCAAATAGGAATACCCCACCATCTAATGATTCGAAGGCACCTGGAGTTAGAGTAAGCAAACTTCACAGAATGTGTTGACCAATAGTGAGATAAATAGGGGGTTAATATGACTATACTAGGCTGTAAGATTTGATATATCTTACTCAAAGTGGTTCTAGAAATTTGGAAACTGAAACACTGCAGAAGGAGGGACCTGGAATATCTGTGGTAGAGAATGACTAATTAGAAAAGTTGTGGCTTGAGATACAGATTGGGTTTCAGCAGTGCTTTAAAAGGTAGCTTGAGATACAAACTTAGTGATAGCAGCATAACAGATACTAGTTAGAAATTAGTTACCAATGATGTACTGAAAATCTTAGTAAAAATAATGTATACTTTTATACATTCCATCATAATGAGTAATAAAGAGGCAGTGTTCATTAAAAAAAAAAAATAAAAAAATAAATATTATTAGTTAAATAACACTGTCAGAGTATAGTTGAAATTTATATAAGTGCAAAATTGTTAAATAATTTGTACTAGTAAATTTTATTATGATATTTTATACCATGGTTATAAACAAGTCAATAGACACAATAGATAGCCTAATGGTCCAATAGGTGTCTAATTGAATCATTAGACAATAGACAAATTATATAATAATAATTGATTTATTTTTTGTCCAAAGCATAGCAAGAACTTAACTATTTTAGTAAACTTTGAATACATATTCATATAATATTAGCCAAAAACTACTAATAAAATTTGAGAATTGATGGTTTCTGTGATGATTTGCAGTTAGTATAAATTTTGCTTCTTTGAAAATTTTAATTTCCTAGTTGTAATTGTATCCTGAATTATTCTAAATAATACTACAATAATAACATATTAAAAATGAAAATTTTACTTAAATACTGTATATATTCAGTATGTTTGGGGTGTTTGGTCTGTACAGAAATTTATATAAAAATTCTTCTTGCAAATAAAAAGAGTTCTAAATATAAGCTATCATAATAAATACATTACATGAACAGATGCTAATAAAAAAAGTTTGATATGGACAAGAATTTAATAACTAGACTAAAAGAATTTTTTTCAAGTTATAATTCCAAACAACCAAGTTTTAAATATTTGTTGAAACTATATACATTGAAAATTATAATCAAAAGTTGTAGTAAATTTTATAAAAGTATTTTTAATATATAGTAAATAATAATGAATTTTTAAAATATAAACAAAAAAGTAAATTATTGTGAATTAGATGAACCTTTAGCTTGTTCATTTATAATAACCATTTTAAAAATATTAGCTTGTCTAAAGTAACAACTATTGAATCTAAAATATCAATCTATCCAAAGCAGAGAATCGATCCAAAAACTATTAGTTAATATAAATAAACTGTAGTTTATTGTAAAACTGTAGTATTAAAATAAACTACAGTTTATTTATATGTACTGTAATTCACAGTTCACATCTCTAATCCAAAGTGCAAACTAAAATGGTAATATCGATATACATTATCTTTGTCATTATACGTAACAAGATGAGCAAATTATTATATAATTGTTTATTATTGAAATAAAACAACTAATATTTAATAAATAATTTAGAATCGATAAAGATTGCACAAGTATTAATTGTTTTATTTGATTATTAAAGCGATAAACATAACTACAATTAACATGCTAATATTATAATATTTGCACATTATTTAATTACATGTGAGAAGTAGCATCTAATTGGTATAATTTAAGAATTTTCGAATTGTCGCATATTACTCTTAGTGTAATACAAGCTACTGCTTGAATATGTTAATTGAAACACCGCCTCATGCAATAGGCTTTAACAATCATTAGTTAGATAATTAATTGCACCAAAAATAAAAAAGTCATAAAGCTAATTCATTTACAATAGCGATAATTATTGAAGTTTATTTATAGTAAATGTCACAAGATTAGGTGGAAGTACTTTCTCTTGTAACCCAGAAAGGCTTTAATTTCATATTTTACGTATTTTGTTTAGTAAATAAGTATTACATATCATGAATATATCAACTTTACGTATATTTTTTAAACCAAAAAAAAAATAACTGGTTTTCTTTATTTATTTTCTCTGCCTTTTATATTAAATTCAATCATATCATTTAAGCTATTCCTCTTAAATTTTTTTTATACTTCTTGTAAACTATATTTATACGTTTTATTACTAATCACGCTATATTAATATCTGACTTCTTGGATCGTTAAACAATTCTAAACCTAATGCAAGAGCTATTCTTAGCAGTAAAGTTTTTAGCATTAAGAATTTATTAATGTTGACTATGATATTTTTCTTATATAGTCTGGAATTATAATTCGATTGGACAATAGACCAATAGACATATTGTCTAATGAAATTTTTATTTAAATAGACATGTCTATTCTCAACCAAATCGAATAGAAATTGGACAATTAGACCATTAGGCGATTAGACAATACCATTTTTGATTAGACTATGTCTATTCACAACCCTGCTCATACTATATAAACTTGATTATTTAATATATGAAATACGTGCCGTACGTATATTTCATTAGATAGGATATACAAATTACACCTTATTTATTTCAATCAGTATGGTGATTAAAATATCTATTTTCAGATAAGACTAAAATTTATAATCAATATTTTGTATATAAATTTTCAGAAAATCAAGTTACAAGTATCATAAATCAGTACTAATAAGAAATTAATAATAGATACATGATTATTTCAAATATTCTATTAATAAATAATATTGACTGAATCGACTTTAGGAACAAGAGGTAAATTCCCGGTTATATGAGGGCCTTTTGGGCCCTCATATAGCCGGAGACAGTTGGCAATTGGGCATAATAAAAATTTTTATTGAAAAATTCCAATTAGGTATATGTTCAATTCAACACTGGCCGAAGATTGAAAAATAAAAGTGCGGATCATACGTATAATTTGTATGTATATATCTATATATAGTAGTGATTATGCATTTTCATGCATGATAAACTAGATCAGATTATGGTATAGTTTTTAAATAGGAAATCTTACACCTTCCTACGTACCATATAATTTTTATCATTATCATTTATACGTAATCTATTTTGGTCATCGTGATAAAACCAGTAAATGCCATAAAAAATATTCAAATTTATGTCACTAATACGCTTTGGAGGATAATCAGATTTTTTTCCCATAGCCATGAGACTCAATTTTTAACGTTAAAATAAATTGGTAATTCGAAACAAATTATGTAAGTTGTACCTTATTTTCACATGAAAAAAAATGATTGAAAAATGTACAGGATACTCATGATGGACGAATTTTATTACATATTTAAAGTTGACGAAACTCAACAGATAGATAAGATGGCTAAGGATATGCTGAAGCAATCCGGTTAAGTTCAAGTTCACGGCCGTTAAATTTAATCAAGCACGAGATGTTCTAACAATCATAATTATTTAATTATCTGCCTAATTTAGAAGCATGATGGAATTAAGCTACAAGCAACCACCATCCGTAAATAAACACCTGAACTCTCCGGCACATAGAGAATCAATGTAAAATCCTGCCATTTTGTGGTACGCTTCATATCTAAGCCGGCCTTCTTTATACAGTGTGGGAGACCACGGGCCGATACTACGCATTGCGAATTCAACTTAATGGCAATTATACACGTCACTCTGGTTATACCGACATCTGGATATAGCGACTTTATAATAAAATCTTTCTATATCGACATTTTTCCTCAAAATTTTAGTATAAAATATCAGTATAACTCACTATATTACATACTAATGAAAAAAAATTGTCGATATATCCAGAGTAACGTGTATTGCTATTTCTGGGAGCATATTCCGTCTCAGTTTATACATCGATTGCACTGATGTATGCTCTTATCCTTCATTTAATAACGCTTAATATCTGCTTAAATGATAATTTTTCGAATAAATCATTTCTTATTCAAATTTCAATTTCTTTGCATTAATTTACAGTAAAAGAATATATCAAACACATTGTTAAAAGTAAATTAATACTCCTTATTGATAAAGTATTTAAGATACATTATCCGGCAGTCATGTTACCTAGTGCTGGGATCTGGATGCCAATTCGGATATCCGGATAGTCATCCGCGCTCAAAAACAGCAATCCGGATAGGACATCCGTATCAGTTAGCGATAGCTATGACCCGATTGACAAGTGTTAACCGGGGTACCCAGGTAATTTTTATACGGGTGCAAGCTCTACTTATCGTGGATTTTTGTTTGCCACCGAAAGATGATTGTAGCTTCGTTTTCTTAAATAACTGGCGCGATCTTGATCGTCACCGGGTCAGTGTTTCGGGCGAAATCCGATTTTGCAGGTCATTTGCAGATCAAATTGGGCGAAACTATTTTCGGAGGGTTTCGGACTTGTAGGGCGAAACTAAAATTCTCTGGGCGAAACGTTTCGAACTTTGGGGAGGTTTAGGCCGAAACACTGCACTGGGTTGGTCTGTTCTTAAAAAAACGCTAAAGAAGTGTTGGACAAAGAAACTTTCTTAAATTTTAAAAAAAATTTATTTTAATGAACATTACTACTCAACTCTTGATGAACGTTACTATTCAATTCTCAATGAACATTACTGCTCAGTTCTCATTATGAGTTGCCCTTCCTTCGCAAGTTTTCCGAGACTCGACTGTGGAAATTACTGGATTTTTGACACTGGTACCCACTCCAGTGCTCTTGGTCCAGGTACTCTAATGTTGCTATTAGCAAAGGCCTAATGATTTCAGAGGAGGAATCGTTACGTAACTTTCCTTAAATGAATAAAAATCGCACCACTAACATTATAATTTTACGGTAGGTAAATTCAAAATGTGATGGCGATGGTTTACGAATAAATTGGATGGATATGTGAAAATCATCTCGCATTTATCAGTCAGTTTTTCAATGCTACGCCTATATACAATATCTATCGAGAATAGATATTAATTCATCTAGTCCGGGCATAAAACCACCGACATCGCCATTAAGTTTAGATAATGAAATATCTGGTAATAATACTTCAGATTCGGAATATGAGGAACCCTAATCTAAACGAAAACTAAACTTTAAACAATTGGGAATAACATTTTTGTCATTTATTTTTGTAGCATCAATATTATAACTTATATATTCTAGCATACAATCAATTAATACATTCTTGGTAATTTGAAACCCATTCTATTGGTTATTCTCAACTCAGTTGCCTCTTACTGTATCAAATCCTAGTCATAACGAACTTGAATTTTTTGGCATAATAAATTTATCAGAACTCAATCGGATTACACATATAATAAACAATCATATAATAGTATAGGTCGTTATCATTCTAAGACTAAGTGCGGCAATTCCTAATAGTGTAAGTTCGATCATGTAAGCTAAATATGCAACATTAGTTATATGATTATATGAGCGTTAACTTGAACAATTATATAGCATGGTTCTGAAGAAAAACACCGTTAGTTGTAATGATAAGAGACGAATATAAGGTCATAAGACCACTAAGATCACATGCCTAAATAAAATTACTGGTGTTGTAGCGATGGATTTTACTTTTTAACATTATCGAAAATCGAATACAGTATCGTGACTGTTAATGGTCTCTGATGTAATATAATGAATTAGGTGAAAACATAAAATTTAATAAAATGAAGAATCATAATCATAGTACAATAAAATGATAAAGTTCCAAAGTATCCTCATTATTCAAAACTCGCTATTATCAAAATCCTATTCTAACTTGATCAATCGCATGACCTAAAGTAATGATTAGTACTACTATGCATAAATTCATCCATTCAGTTCATTACAGTATATAAATTATATAGTTTCTACTATCATTCTCAAGTTCTTGGTCATGCTATTCAATGTCGTGTAACTATTGAAAATCTTGCACAAAACTTTCAACCTGATACAGGAGTCTACAGATTATCTGGTGATAATGGTGTTTGGTTAATGATGGTCTAATGAAGCTGGTGCCGTCATTGCTCCTCGTTATAATTCTTTGTTTGTGAAAGTTAATACTAGTATGAATTCTTACAGTTAGATTTTTAGAAATACGAGCAGAGTTGAGAAATTTTTCGATACAAAATCTGAAAAGTTCGTTCAAGTATTTGTTATATATTAATAAAATTATAACTTTACTCTTTAAACTCTCGAGAGTAACCTACATAACTATTGACCAAAGTAGTAGTGATGTAAACAGCTGGCTCCGCTCGGCTAATAGCTCGCTATAATATAGCTGAGCCGAATTTTAGCCGAGTCGCATTTTAGCAGAACCTTTTTTGGCGAGCTGATTGAGAACCGCGGCTCTAAATTCTATTGTTATCGTTACACGAAAATTTTATTTTCATTTAACTTTAGCGTAACTGTACAATTGCAAATATGTAAATAGAAGCATAAAGTGTTATTAATAAAAATTTCGGGGTTTTTTTTGTAAATACTGAAATACAGTGTAACTACAGAACAGATTTTTGGCAACCATAGAAAGAGAGGTAACACCTGTGTTCAAGAAGTTTCTTGTAAAAGTTTTGACGATTGTTATAAGAGAGTACGAAAGAAGAATTATTATTTATCGTATAACGAATATTATGACATATCATTATCAGTTTATTATCGTTATTATGACATTATAATAATGTAGTCTTACGGTTCTAAACTAGCTCCACGTAACACAAACCGAGTCTAGCTCGGCTAAGTCGATCGGCCTGCAAGCCGTTTTGCATCACTACTAAGTAGTAGCTCTAAATAAGCTACATCAACTTTATGGAAGTGTTAACTTTACAGCTGTTTTCATTATTTTTGGGACATTTGAAAAATTGGTGATGACCGAATCGATAAGTTTTTGAAGCCAGCCGACGTCAGTAACTTATTGATTCCCGACTTGATAAATTATCGATTCGGTTATCAAAAAATTTTTCAGATGTCCTAGTCTCAAAAATAATTGATTTTCAATATGACCCGTTAACCGGGCCGGGTCAATATCTGACCCGCCCAGGTAATTTTTTCTGTTCCGGGTAATATCGAATTGAAGTTTAATAATTCTGGAATTCCAAATTCTTCACTATATCGAATCTTCATTATCATTATGAGTTCTATATTCAGCATAAAAGGAATTCATTATACAAATAACTATAACAAGAGATGACTACAAGGTGTTTGGATGTACATTGGGGTCTTTGCCTTGAAAATCACGTTATGGGACATAGTAAATCATATGTTCCATAACTTGATTTTCAAGGCAAAG